ACCCGGGTACACTACTACGCCCATATCTCCCGCCCCGGATGATCGCCGATCATACCAACCAAGTTACGATCGCCCGAACTCCCGCTAGCTCCCAGCCACCTGTCTATTTTGGCGTCCAGATGGCATTCCAGACACCCCACCCCCATTAAAACTAATCGTGACGAATCCACCAGAAACGGCCCAGCAGACAGAAAAATGGAGACACGCTCCGTCTGATCTTTGGGGGCATAAACCGCAACTATCCGAAACGAACTATTGTTCACGGCAATTTCAATCACGATCAACCGCACCCAGCCCGCATTGACATAGACAAGGTCCACTCTCGCACCCAGGGAACATTTAACCAGCAAGGAAAAACCCCTGGCCAGCTGAATAGACAACAAAGTAGCTGAACAGCACTCATGCATCAACTTCGCAAACAAAGTGTGTCTCCTGGATCACGGCCACATCTACGCGGAAGGACAACAGATCATTCCGATCTTTCAAGCCGTTCGCATGCAAACTAGCTAGCTTGATAGACATTTTAAAAGTTAATTTCTTAAACACAGACCGTACAGAAATCTGTAGGGGAAAGGACCCCGACGGATTATCCCAGACTGCTAGAGCCTATATCGGACGTAATTCGTCCGTCCAGAACAATGCCGTCGACGTCTGTAGGGCCCTATATTGTGTGGGATGGAACAACAACCGGACCCTCACTGCACACAATTTTTTCAAGTCCTCCGACTACAACTGAGTCATCTTTATATTGGAGAAAGATTTTCGGGCAGCATCCAAAAGCTCCCTTACCTTCAATTTGCCGTTCACATTCCTATTTAAAATTCCTGGAGTCTTTGAATAACAGCCCCAAGAAAGCCTTCCTCTGAGGAGAGATCCCCCTGGAAAGCCTTTCTTGGGAAAGGGGTTCTTTTCTTTGAACGAGGGTAGAGATTGGTATTGGAGAGGGAGATGGCGAATCCTTAGTGGGGAAGTGGAGAGGACCCTAGACTTGTCGGCGTAAGTACTTTCATTTTTATATGGCGAAGCAGGGGCTGATTGGGACTTGGAATTTTTCATAGCCCTCTCCACCCAGCTACGGCCAGAACTTTTCTCTTTTTTCGCATTTTTTCTCCTCTTCCTCCTCCTTCGGCAGAGGTATATCTTCCACCTCCATACCATACTCCGGTTGTTGGCGTTGTGGTATCTGCACTTGCTGTTGTTGTTGCTGTTCTTGATGTTGCTGCTGCTGTTATTGTTGCTGCAACTTTTATTGTTGTTACTGTAGTTGTTGTTGCTGCGTTGGCTGCTTTGGCTGCTGTTGTTGTTGCTGTTGCAGTTCTTGTCTTACTGTTTTTGCTGTTATTTCTGTTATGTTTACTGCTGCTTCACGCGATTATAAAAATTTTCCGGTCACGGCATATCAAAATGTCAGGGATATTCATAAAGTACTCGATGTCGGCGAGCATTTCGTCTCCATCGATCTCGCATATGCCGCGATAATGTGTCATCCCCTTTATATTGGGGTGAAACAAATGATGTTTCTAACGTTTCTAGCCGTGGCAAGAATGGACGTCGCGAATGGAGGGTATCTTGTGATATGAATACTATTCTCATCAGGATCTGGTCGTATTCTTTGGGCATCAGCTCAAGATAAGGTCAGAACTGACAGAAAGCGTTGTGATCGACAGATTTCGGCGAAAGGTAGGTAAAAGTAGCGAGCTTAGTTCGAGTGAACGAGGCCAGTCTTGATTTTCTTTTTTAATTCCCTTTGACACAACGGGGAGGCTTCCTGACGAATCCTTCCCTGGTTAAGATAGACTCTCTTTGTTTACTTAGTTAATGTGAGTAATTGTCGTTCTCAGCCTGTTACCGGAATTCTCTGTTGTTATGATGCATGTCGAGATTCCCAACGACCACTGTTTGTTTTTGCCCCATTTGTTTGTTTTTTTCATCTCGACTGGGTGATTCTTTGATTTTCCCATTCCGTCATTTATTTTTTATCCTTCCCTCTCCGTTGTTAGTGAGGGAGCTTCTCGGTTCTGCCTATGAACAGAATACAACGCCCGCTCTTATTTGCATTTGTGGGGGTGATGAGTCCTACTAATATCTGTTATGTTTAGTTTGAATGTTTTGCTATATTTTAGTTTTGTTTTCTGTGCTCATCACCTCCCATCTCATTTCATAATCATTAGATTTTGAATGTTTTTTGTGGGAAAAAGAAAAAAATGAAAAAAAGAGACATTTGAATGTTTTTGTACATTATGAAATAATTAGGTCATGGGTTTTTGTAGGTTCCCTGTGAATATATGGTACTATAGTATATGTAGGATTGGATGGTGATGACTTCTTGTGGTGAATGAACAAATTGTAATGAATGAATGGGTCGTGAATCTCATAAACTAAGTCTAGGATAGAAAGTGTTGCCCAGCCTCACCCCACTACCCCTTCGGCTATGTGCCACATCTGTTGTTTCATGAACAATAAATATACATTCCTGTTATGAATTACAACTGAGTAATGAGTTCGATCCTCGCTTAGTGCCCTATACTTTCGGCCTTGTGCTACAGCTAATCTATGCTTAGAAAATCAGCATTCCTGCTATGGATTAGAACCAGCAGTTGTCGAACACCAACCTCTAGCATCGCCGAGATAGGAACAATTATATGCATTGATTTGTAAGATATAAATTTTAAAAACATTCATTTTAAGTAAGTGTTTATATACATGTTACTAATTCTAAGCATGACGAAATCATTTTCTGTTGTTCATTTAATTTTTGATAATGACGTTTATATTTTTATTCAATTTTATTTAATTTTATTCATTTTAATGACTCTTAAAAACTTACTGATTCTAAATCAAATATATTCCTTTATTTTTAAGATTTGAATTCGCGTCTCTTTTATAGCAATTTTTAGGGTAAGAAAAGCAAAAAAGATGAAAAGAAAATTCAATGTTTAAGTCAAAAAGTCTTCTCTGACATAGTTTTAAAAATATTTCAAATTTGTTTAAATTGTTTAAGATGTAATTTTTGTAAAAATAAATTATTAAACAAATAAATGAATGAACCAATGATTTCTGTAGCGCTGAAGGAAGGAAGGAAGGAAGGAAGGAAGGAAGGAAGGAAGGAAAAAAGAAAGAAAGAAAGAAAGAAAGAAAGAAAGAAAAAGGAAGAAGGAAAGAAATGCAGAAAGAAACAAAGAAAAGTCACAGTTTAAATTAAAGTTACCGAAAATTCCATCCTGCTGAGAAAATAAATACGGAAATCAATTTAAACAAAAAAAATTCAATTCTCTATAAATTATATTTGAGTAATATTTAAAGTTACGTGTATGTCGTTTCTTCTGCTTTCAAATGATCATCATTTATATGGCGTGTCTTTTCAGGACGTAGGCGATCATGTATATCTAAAACATAGAAACATTTGTCGTTATAAGCAAAAGGAAGACATGATATAGAAGGAAAACATCCTACAGAAAGCAGACATGCTACAGAAGTCATAGGAGCTTGAGAAGGAAGACATGCTATAGAAGGGAGACGATATACAAGGAAGACATGTTATAGAAGGAAGACATGCTAGAGAAGGAAGACATGATATCGAAGGAATATATGCTACAGAAGGAATATTACTATAGAAGAAAAACCATGGTACACAAGGAAAACATGCTACAGAAGGAAGAAAGCCTCGAGAAGGAAGACATGCTACAGAAGTATTATAAAAGGGAGCCAGCCTATCGCCAATACATTGTGTGCATTCGTGCGTAAGCGTCAATCTTCAGTCAAAAAATCCTTTTTGTATTCAAGTCTCTCCCCAGATAATATAATTTATTGCAAAACAGGATTTGATGATATTAATTACGCTGAGAATTGTAGGGTTGAACCAAAATTCACATATTTAATCTTGAATCAAACTGATGAGAATGGGTGTCCTTAATAATTATATTATTACTAAAACTGTCAAAAATGACAAATTTAATAATGTCCGGTTAGTCTGATCAGATCGAGACTTTCATATGGATGTCATGTCTGGCACCAAACCCGTTCAGAAATATCTAAACTGCCAGCAGTATACAACCGCTTTCTCAGATCAATGGTGGAAATGACTTTAAGCAAATGAAACCTGAGAGTTTTGGTAAATATCATCTTTCTTTGAACCTTGTGGACTGGAACTAAAGTATCACAAAGAACTGTAACAAATAACAGAAACCACATCAAAGGACTTCCAAAAGCAGCAACAACTAAAATGGATAGCACATGTAACTAGAAGAGAAAATAATGAAATAATCAAGATGTTAATATTTCACATAAATAAAAGTTTAGCAAGAAACACCCCCCCAATCAATACTGGAAAGAGCGATAACAGCTACTGGACTTGAAAAATCTATTTTCTTGAAAAATTGTTTTAAGAGAAAAATTTTATAAACTTCAACCGAAAACAGTACTGGCTGCTCGGCCAATGAATGCCAAATATTTCCTTGAAGGGAAAATCATATCATGGAAACCTATTTCTATAACCTTAAATTTATTTCTAAAATTGGTCTTTGTGAATTTCTAACTTTATTAATTACCATATCCCACACTCGTACAATATACCACGCTACAATTTTACATTCATTATGCACTTAAAGTCTTAAGTATATTGGCAAAATGGCTTTTCATTAGGTCTTTGCTTTTTTATTACATCTTTCCATCCAATTATTGTGCGTCATTTTATTTCATTTTCATGGTATTTATACAATGTTAAGTAGATATATTCTGCGACTTCCATGTAATTTAATATTTTCATAAGTTACACTTGAATAGGCCAGTAAGAAATAGAGTTATGCTTTTTACAAGATTATCGGTGCGAAAGTGAAGAGAAAACAACGTCGAACCCAATCTGATGATATCATTTCACGTCTCAATATAACCATTACGCCTCCCTCATCCAAATACTTGAATGTTAATTCAGCGAATTTACTCAAAACATGGGTGTCAATTATCAACGATTACCTCCCCTTAGAAACTTTGGCACTTCAATATCAATATTTGTCTTCTCTTATAGAATTAGGTTTTGTCTCTTTATCGGATAAAAGCGACACGAACATAGATAGATAGATAGATAGATAGATAGATAGATAGATATTAACAAACTGCAATGAAGAGATATAAACAGACTGCAATAGATAGATAGATAGATAGATAGATAGATAGATAGATAGATGTTGCTATCGCGAGAAGTAGAAGCCGACGAAACATGGCTGAACCAGAATGCTAGCAATGATTTCACATCAAAAGAAAGTTTTGTCATTCGACGATGGCCGATGGAAATGTTCCTTTTTTGGGTTTCCTCTTAACAAAAAAATAATTTTAAAAAATAAACCTATTTCTACCCGTTTTGTCTTCGGGGAAACCCGAGAAAATCGATTATCGTCAGTGGTTCTGCATGAAATTATTGATAAAGGGTTACTGAAAAATAAGAATTTGCCCAGTCGTGTTGTTTCGTAAGGCATCGCGAAGTAATCAAATATTATCGACATCATCCTTTTTACATTCAGCCACTGAATTTTCATAGAGTATAATTGAACTTATTTTTTTTAAAGCATTTAACCCCAAGCAAGGCGGGAATCCACTAGCACGTAAAGGGTTACAGAGTCTTGGAGGGAGAGCAAAGAGGAGTGATAGAGGAAAGGAGGAAGAGAAGGAGAGGGGATAGATCAGAGCATCTAGAGACGTCGATTGACGTTACATTTGAATAGTTAGAGATTATAGCTATCAGGAAAACAAGAACTGGGAGGGAGTTCCATAGGGGAGAAGTGCGAGGCATGAAGCTATTGAAGGGAAAGAGACAGCTACATTTAACAGTTTCGACAGTGAAAAGGTGAGAGCGAGATGCCAGCCTAGTTGAAAGCTTAAATTCATGACGTCTGGGAACCAGCGAAAGCAGCTCATCGGAGCAGTTACCGTGAGAGTATTTGTAAAAAAAAGACAGAGGGAGGCAACGGCACGTCTGTGATGTATTCATAAGCTTTCTCAATAAGTTTTCAAAAGAAAGCTTCCTATAAATGAGGAAGTTTTAAATCTTATGATTTATCCTTCAAGATCTGAATGTAAATATTACCCCTTGTCCCTTGATAATTATTATATTTGAGTATATATTTTATGCATGAACTGTAACAAATATTATGAGACAGACGTTGTATTTAGAATAATCACCCAATGATTGACAGAATTTTCGTAGAAGTTTATCATTTTTCGTTTTTAACTTACACTTACGGGATATGTGCAGCCCGTGGTATTACCTCTTCTGAGGGTACACGGTTGACAGTTTCTTGGTTGCTATTTCCGACTGGTATTTAGGAGCCCTAACTCTTGCGTAGCGTCTTGAGCGGCCGCTCTGATCAACAGTCGTATAATATCGGGGTGTCTGTAGTGCCATGTCGCGCATGGATAGGTGTCCCTGCATTCAGCTCCGGTGGGCAACCCTGAGGCTAATGTTGCAAGCTGTGCCAACTTCTCTCTGCCCACCCCACGGTTGATAACCGTCTGCTTCTTTTACTTCAGGCCTTCTCATTTTTACAACCACAATTTCACATGATAATTAACGACGATCCAAAAAGAAAACCTAAACCAGCGCCTAAAAAATCGCCTAAACCCATTAACATTTCATTTTCCTAATCTCCAACTATTCAAATGTAATATCAATCGACGTCTCCAGATGCCTTGATCTATCCCCTAACCTTCTCTTCATCCTTTCCTCTATCACTCCTCTTTGCTCTCGCTCCAACTCTCTGTAACCCCTTGCATGCTAAAAAAAAAAAAACACGCACAAATGAACTTTCTGTGTATTTGAAAACATTCTCGTAAATTTCATTTCTTTTTTTCTGTTTTCATCGTCGACAAAATGAAACGATTTGAGAAAATTTTATTTTTTTAACATATCCTTTCTGACATGAATATTTGGAATTTGTTTTTCTATTCTTTTTTCATCTATCGGTAGAAACCGTGTCACTCTAGTTTGAATTGAAGTGTTAATCGATAGATGCATTATGCTACGAACTCAAATAACTCTTTGAAATTGGAGCTGGAATTATCAAATTAATGCCACAAGAAAGGAGCTGGGAGCTTTCCAGTTATCATTACTTTCATCTGAAATTTAAAGAAAAATGTCAGGAAAATAACCGGGAAGTAATTTCGTTTACAAAAATACCTCCCTCATTTTCCCATATATATATATATATATATATATATATATATATATATTAAAAAGAAAAGAGAAACCGCAATCGTTTTTGGTTGTAATGTGGATTTAAAAAAAAAAAAACATTATGCTTTATTTTCCATAATTTTGCTACACGGGTTTCCGGATTCTCGACCTTCATCAGGCAAAGCGTGGAGATTTCCATATATTATTAAAAATAATTGATTTTTTTCCTTTTATATATATATATATATATATAATGATAAAAATATAGTTTTAAGATATGCTCTATTTATAGGTAAAAGTGCTCAAAATCAGGGATAGAGCGTATATAAATATAAACATGAACATTAAGATCAACGTTCAGCTGCGACAAAATTAAACTCAATCATCTGGTCATATATATATAAACTATATATGTGTGCGTGTGTGTGCGTGTGTATGTGTGTGTAGACTGTCGATGAGTAAAGTATATTCAACTACAGGCATTTTTTCAACATAATCTCCTTCTTTAAAAATTAAGCGCCTAATTCGTTGGTGAATATGAATTTACATCAATCGAACATTCCGTACGAAATGTCAGCTTGTGTGTCAGGCTTCGCGGTGTCCTCCACCCTCGGACATGTTCCACAGAATATACTCCCTTTTGGCAGTAATTAATTCAAATAATATATAAATTAAATAAAGGCAAACGATGTGAATTTTCTCCACACCGACCTTTGACCTTTGCTTCAAATCCTGTGTCTCATTTTTTGCCTGAAAGCCGCCATGAACGTTAAACGGCGTATTTGTTTCGTCACCTTCAACAAAATGACATTCGGCAGACGAATCTTCATGTTTCATCAATAAATGAAATTCTTTAGATTGATGACTTCCTGTCGTCTACAACACAAACAAGACTTGAATACAACATTGATATAATAGTTAATGACGCAGAGATCTAGTAGTGGTGGATGGTACTTTTAGTATCCGACTAACGGTCGTCTGGCATCAACTCCCTGAGCCACTTCGCGACTATTACTACTACTACTACTTATTATAGGCGGGAGAGTCTATTAACTATAGAATAGGTGTTTTCCACTATAACAGAAATTTTTAAAATTATCTTCAATTATTGAAAGCCTAAATATAGAAACAAATTAAAGAAATATTGTGTATTATGGTTTTTAAAAATAGAAGTCTTCACAAATCATGCTATTGAAACGATATCGAGTTTGTGTACATATTACAATAAGAAACCTTTTGTCATATGACTAAAATATCCAATGAAAGCAATGAAAACAATTTTCCTTTTCTATGCAGTCGACGCTTATGATGAAATAGAAAATATTAAAGGATATAGAACTACATACGGCATAATGATTGGCAGTTTCAGGCGTGATTGCAGTCTGATGATCGCATAATACGTGAAATTGACAGTCACCATTCAATGTTAATTCTTGTGTCCACACTGTTTATATCTACGAAAGCTCTATTCTATTAAGCACTCTGCCCGATAAACCTAGCACATGTTAAACTATATGTATGTGTATGCGCGTGTGTGTGCGTGCGTGCGTGCGTGCGTATATGCGCACGGCACGCGCAAGTGTGTGTGTTTGTAAAATTCAGATATAAATAAAATTTATCTGTAAAAACACAAAATGAATTAAAAACAAAAGGAAAACTTTTCTTTACCAACGCGTTTCGTCCTCCGATTGACGTTATCAGGGCAATGTACTGATTTTAATTTCCAATATATATATATATATATATATATTGAGACATGTTTCCACAATAATTTAGACATAGCACAATGTCATCATCAGGGTATTGTTTATTGTAAGACAAATATTGTAGTGTTCATTATTGCCGAAGACAAAGTTAAATTTCTTACCTGTAGAGTGAAGAACGCTGAGTCAGCACATGATCGCTGACACTGTTTAAGGGGAGGTAACTAAATATGATTGTGGAGAGTTTTTTACAAAAAAAGTATGGAAATATTTTCGACAAGAATTTTTCTGAATGATGATATTGTACAATGACGAAAGTACTCGGAATAAAAGAAATATGTACCAACACGGCGATTTTCTCTCGTCCTTTAATAACGACACCTAAAACTTTATCTGTGAATATATAGCAAATAAAAATCATAAATAAGAAAAAATTCAACAACAAAATTTACTTACTTTCGTTTATTAGGCATTAAATTACATCACTTAGCATCTTCCATAGTTTAATTTGACTTTCGCAGTTAGCTTTAAGAATATTTGTCAGCGTTCTTAAATTTAAAATTGTGAAAAAATAACGAAATTAACTATACCTTAATTTTACCTGTACTATATATATATAGTACAGGTAAAAAAAATCCGTTGGCATATAATCCAAGTAGATCTTAGTAATAAAAAATATTAAAACTGATCCACAAGAAGAGATCAATATATTTATTATAACAGAGCATATAAATTAAACAACTGTCTGTCTGTCTCTCTCTCTCTCTCTCTCTCTCTATATATATATATATATATATATATATATATATATATATATATGTATGTGTGTGTGTGGGTGTATAATTGTTAAAAACGTTAAATTTAATGTGTACATGTGCTTGAGTAGACATTGTAATCAACGCCTAAGGGTCTAAGCAATTGGAAATTTTAATAAAGAACAGGTGCTACTGGACCGGGAGTGAAACATTTCCCTTAGATTTGAAAAACCAGCATGTATATATATGGATGCTTCCTTATGGGAGAAAAATGTATGATGAAGTGGAAAGTTTTCGTCTGATGCCTTTGATTGTTTAGTCATGCGCACAAACGAGGGACGCTGGGAATTTGAAATTTAAAATAATTTTATTTTATAAATGTATTTTGGTATATAATCTAGCCGATTTTATTTAGAATATTTTACTTTTTGTTTCCATCATCGTTGTTATTAAATATCCCACATTTTGATCACAGAAAATCTACCAAAAATTGTGAAATGTAAGAATCTGGGATATGAATGAAGTAGCGCTTAAAGCACTTTCTAAACTTTTTCGTCTTAGTAAATTGCTTTCTCTTTTAATTAGAATAATTTTTTATATCAAAACTGTTGTCAGTATAGTTATGGATAGCAACTAATAGGTTTAACGTAGTGTTACTTAAAATAATTCTTTTGTGTTCATATAATATTTTATTTAAATTTCTTGAGGTTTCTCCAATGTATTCTTTTTGATAATAATTACAGGTAATAGAGTAAATTCCTTTTTCATGTTTTAGCCTATTGTTTTGTATTAAGACTTTTATTGTTTGATTCCACTATTTCTAACCTTCACGGCTAGGAACCGTCATGCCACCCACAATGCAAGCCAGCCACATTCCCCCTGTATTGCATCAGTGATAAGTAAGTTCTACCCGAACAACTTCTTCCCGACTTCTAAGAGGAAGTTTCCCCGATGACTACAATCTTTTCAAGTCTATGTTTAACCGTTATCTTCCCCGTCTATCTGTATAAACTGTTTCTTCCTCTGTAACCCTTATGTCTTTATTACATTATTTTGACTGCTGTAACTCCCAACCTTCTTCTGCCCTTGTCGACAGAGCGGTTAAAATAGACCTACTGTGTCCTTTGCTGAGGGATAAGATCCCCCCAACCTAGTAAAGAGGCCTCCTATCGTGTAAATACGTGCGATTTCAAATATAAAAACGTTTATCTACAGGTTTAGTATAATAAAAACAAAAACAGATTTCGACGCTGGATAATCCAACAAGGGTCGATAATTCTTAAAATTTCTTCAGGTGGCATCTGGAAATGTCCAATGGGACAAACTATATAAGCTCCGACAGTTTTGTTTTCCTTCTTATGTTCTTGTCACGTCTGACATCCTACTGAGGGAAATTCTTTTTGATGCGCCATGTCCCTTCAGGACGTGGGAGATCATGACTCTCCACAAATTATTAGCACATAGTAAGGTTTTTCTTTTCACCATCCCTCCCCTATTCTGCCATCCATTTTACACAACTTCATTAGATAGAATACCTGCTGTTACTCTCCGTGCCTCTTGCTTCCAATATGTCTTGTGGGTATCAATTTCTCCAAACCGTCTTTTTTAATGTGTCCCAGAAATCCCAACTGTCGCTTTTTGATTCTAAGTATAATTTCTTTAAATCTTCCTCGCTGCTCACATGTTCAGCTCATGACATTCTCATCATCCTTCTGTAGAATCTTATTCATGTTGCTGCAATCTTTGATGAGATTGTCCAGTATTCCCTGCCATATAGGAGAATTGATATTACATAACAGTTCAGCACTCTTTTCTATGTTGCTAATGAAATTTTCCTGTTTCTTAATACTTTGCTTAACTTTTGGAAGGTATCTTTCGCTATTCCAACGCTTTTTCGGATTTCTCTGTTACATTTTCCGTCGTCCGTTTCCGATTTTGGAATCTTCAATTCGTAGTCCGCATCTTGGACTCTTCCTTTTGCTGACAACTATACATTAGTCCTTTCTTCTCACTTTCCTTTCCTACCTTCACTAGGAGTTCCTGTAGTTCTTTCTCTGTGTCTGCTATCAACACTGTGTCATCTGCATATCTTATAAGGACTCATAATCGTCAGTTCTACTTTGGATGCTTTTTACGTTCTCATTGAACTCTTGCATTATAATTTTATATCTAGCATTACTTATAGCCGTTAACGGCATAAAATAAAAACATCCCGTCGTAATATTCATTTGCAGGAAAATGTCACGTTGAAAGCAAAAGCAAATGTTTTCAGGAAGCGACTACTAATACATTATTGAATTTCTCTTCGACAGGGGAAATATATTCCGACTATTCATTATAGACCAAAAAAGATATTAGCCCAAAAGAAGCTGAGCATGTTAATACTTATCATTTTATTTTAGTCATAATATTTCTTCTTTATGTATCACTCATTATGATATTTAAAAAAAATGGCAATTTATATATATATATATATGTGTGTGTGTGTGTGTGTGTGTGTGTGTGTGTGTGTGTGTGTGTGATTCAATAAATTACACGCATTATATCTGCTTATTTTTATCATTATCCTTTCATATTAACGAATATTTTTCCGTATATATGATAAAAATAAGCAGACATAATGTTTGGAATTTATTCAATCAGACATACCTAAAAGAGAATTTGATACCTAAATATACAGATAGATAGATAGATAGATAGATAGATAGATAGATAGATAGATAGATAGATAGATAATACTAGTGGTAAATATACACATACATATGCAAAATATATATATATATACATGCATACACATACATATATATTTTGTATAAAAAAAATTCCAAGAGGATAGAATCCAGGTAGAACTCAATGTCCAGGAGAGAGTAAGGATATAATAAAAAGGCTTAAACACTAATGTCACCACAAAATGTATCCTTTCCGGTTACATCTTTAATGTATTAGACATCCGACAACATTCATATTTTTCTCACTTAAACCGTCTTCAACTCACATCTCTAAAACTTCTCTCTGTTAAGTTTTAATCTCCCACCTTCTTTCGTCTGTTACCCCTCTCTTTAGCTCTAACATTCGTCCCACACTCTCATACTTACACTCTCTCTAAATTTTATTTTTTATTTCCGGAGTTGTTTTTTTCTGTTTTCTTTTTGAATTTGTAGGTCTGATGAATTGGATCGTATTTACGATTCCAATGGAATATGACCATGGAATATTAGTATTTAAGCCTTTTTATTATATATATATAAAAATATATACACACACACACACACACACACACACACACCCTTGTACAAATTAATTGAAATTAATTTTCCAATGAAACATGACCCAGTGCACATGTTAGTAGATCGTATGTCCATTCCACGAAGTCGTTTCTTGCAGACTGTTCACAGATTCCCGATTGAATTTAAACCAGGAGAGTTTCCGGGCTAATATATAGTACTTTGATTTGCTCACTGGTAAGGCTTGTCAGTGTGTTCGTGCAGCGTCACAATTTTCGTATGCTTCCTTGGAATAACATCCATCGCAGACAATTGCTGTTGGACAACTAATCGACAGTTGAGACAATAGTGTCTGGGCATGATGAAAATCTTATGCAATCATGGATGACGCAATATTTTTCAAGGCCAAGCAAATTTAATCATAAATTTCAAAACTACTTTCGGCCTTGTGCCATATCTAAGCTACGCTTGGAAAATCACTGTTGTGGTTAATGGCTTAAATAATAATTAATATATAATTAAACAACAGAACTGATTTAATATTATTTATACTTTCATGTTTTATCTTATGTTAGGTTATTCTACAAGGGCTACTGGTTCAATGTAATGTGATATCGGTGACTAAATCTGTTGCCCCCACCGCAGGTCTTTTTTTTTCTGGTGGGGAGGGTGACTATACGTTCAGCAGGATTAAAAACAAAATCTGTAAAAGGACGGATGAGCATTATTGTTGGGTCAGTGGCCATTTCTCACTTATAGGGTAGACTGGACTCCATAGATATGCATGATGCCATTTTGACATTGACATGGTGTCGCTGGCCAGAGGGATTCCTAGACTGAAGTCAATGGCCCACAGGGCGAAGAGTTCCCCCGTTGGGACCAACAGACATCCGTAACCAAGGCGAGCCTTCAAGTTGGATCTGAAGAGGGATGAGCACCGCAAAGTCTATTTGCCCAAGACACGCGACGCATGAATGAAATTCTCTTTGTCTTTCAACCCAGATATGTGAACGGAACCGCACCTGGTGGTCAGGGGCTCGGCAATCTACGACCCCAACCAGTCAGGAGACTGATGATGATAATGACGATAATGATGACGATTATCCTATTCATATGCATATATATATATATATATATATATTCCTATTCATATGCATATATATTTTAGTTACTCATAATGAATGAATTTTATTTCTTGTCCTTCAAAAAAATGAAATCTCATATTTCACATGATTTTCTGTAGCTTCAATACCTATAAAATATTTCCAAAACCAGAATCTCTAAACTCCGCCTTCGTTTTATATAACAATTTCATACGAAGAAAACATTACATTCGATGTCATCTTGAATTTACGTTTAAATAGTTTGATTTTATGAGACAGTTTTCCAAGAAACCATCAGGATCTCCCAGTTGTATTTCAAAGATTTTATTCTGTAGAATTTCCATTTTTATTGAAACGCTTTCTTTTCAAAGTAAATATTCCAAGAATGAAAATTCCTCTCCCACATGATCTTCCATTTGTATTTTAGTGTCTTCGTTTTCTATCCGTTTGCATTCAGGTAAAAACAAATAAAAATATAGCCCAGTCCCTCGAATCACTTTTATGTTAAAGAAATTTGTTGAGTAAACAATTATTTCACCTGATAGTCCACAAAAAATAGAGAAAAGATAGATAGATAGATAGATAGATAGATAGATAGATAGATAAGAATAGAAAATAGGTGAAGATCAGATAAACGAGATGAAAACGTATTTCTAAACGCGACTGTAAACATCCGGGACTCGAAAAACCCACAGAAATCGTTGTGTTTATTTTCAAAAGCAACCGGGAAAAGAAGAACGTTTCTGATTTTTTTTTTTTTCTTTTTAGTTTTTGGTTCTAGTCGCGGCCGTTAAAGTGCAAACACAACATGGTTGGCTTGTCTGGTATTTGCAAACTAGGAGATCTGTGATATGCCTCCGACATTTTTGGCGTGCGCGCACACAGACACACACATACACACACACACATAAACACACATACGTGCGCGTGTGTGTGTCTGTGCGTGTGTGTGTGCTCGTCTCTATATATAAAAGATAGAAAATTTGATTGAACTAATTCGACATTCACACACAATTTGGAGATAGATATGAACAGATAGACAGAAATAAAAAGGCAGACATAGATAGATAGATAGATAGATAGATAGATAGATACAGACGTGAATAGATAGATAGATAGATAGATAGATAGATAGATAGATAGATAGATAGATAGATAGATACGAACAGACTGAGATAGATAGATAGATAGATAGATAGATAGATAGATAGATAGCCAGTCCGGTTTGTATATAAATGTGTCCAAAATGATTAAATTCCATGGAGTCATACATTAAAATGAAATTATATATATATATATATATATATATATATATATATATATATATGTGTGTGTGTGTGTGAGAGAGAGAGAGAGAGAGAGAGAGAGAGGAGAGAGAGATTTTAATGACATCATTTAGCCTGGTGCTGGGAAGATGGTGCAACAAGTGCAAGAAATTTCATTTCTTCCCGTTTCAAACGATAATCAACTATTTTTCATTTTTTTTTTTTTTTTCGTTTGTTTTTGGGGAGGTTTTTTTTTTTATCTCGACTTGCGATTTTGGAGTATTGTCAGGTTTAGTCCTATGGCGATAGGATTAATATCTTTTGTTATGCTAGCGTGGTTAAAGTTAGATTAGATTGGTTCGAGGAAAAGCAGACGTTTTACATCAAAAGACTTTCTCGAATGTGATCGGAGGAGGCAGATTACAAAAAGAAACGACTACGTTTTATTATTATTATTATTATATTTTGCCTTTGCTTTGCGTAGTACGAGTTATAAAAATCCCAAGCAGAGACTTCAAGAGACAACTAGCTTTTCGTATCAAAAGATGCAAACAGATAAGGTGTCATGCATTCAGGGTGAGAGAGAGAGTGCAAAATGTAATTGTGGTCATTACATAGAAAGAAACCCACGTAAGATGTCAGAACTACGAAAGGGTATGATTTTTAGCAAGTTTCATATTTTAGCGTTTCATTGAATTTGTTCCTCATAATTGTTCCTTTCTATAACATTCCCAATAATCCAAAGACAACACGAAATGTTGTTGTCTTGAGATGCCACATTCTACTGACTTCTATCTCAAGATTCTTATATTTACTCAGTTTCTGCAACAGCTGTCAGCAGACATGTATTTTCAACTGTTATATCTGATCAATTTGCATGGATTTTCATACCAGTCTGATCGCTGATTATTATTATTATTATTATTATTACCTTTGATGATGATTATTATTATTATTACTATTTCCTTTGATTATTATAATTATTTCCTTTGGTGATGATGATGATGATTATTATTATCATTTCCTTTGATCATTATTATTATTATTATTTCCTTGATTATTATTATTATTTCCTTTGGTGATGATTATTATGTGACGGTTACACACCTGGCCCAGGGTCGGATCCTTTGGTTACGGCGCCAACGGTGACGTCGCTCCTCCTGGTCGCTCCTCCTGGGTCCAAGCGTGCCGCTCCAACCCCTTGGTCAGATGATCACCAGCCTCGCCTTTCCCGACTCGCTTCAATACCTGGTCACTAAAGCAACTGTACCGATCTCCGGTCTGTCTACCCGCTGTGTTTAGATCTTAGACAGACAGGACCAGCAGGGATTGGGGCCGATACAAGTTGAGTCCGACAGGGGTGGCAAAACACAAATAAAAGAGAAAACAAACTCACGAGACAAAAAAGATTGCTGATGAAAAAAAATGGGTAACAACCTTTTATATCTTAATGTCGTTACATAAAAACAAAATTGTTCTCATTTCCCAACCTGTACAAGCTTCTATCACACAACCTAAAGATTTCGAATTGCCTACTCTTTAGAATTGTGTATGTCGGAGTGTGGTTTGGTTCGACACTGGGCTAATTCCTATCGATCATTTCGCAGTTGATTCTTCTCTTCGACTTGAGTTGTGTTCTTCTTCTTCGTCGCTTTAGGCTGGAAGTTCTCTTGTCTTCGACTTGGGCTGGAAGTTCTCTTGTCTTCGACTTGGGCTGGAAGGATCTCTTGCCGCAACTCAGCCGCAACTCTCTGTCGTCCGAGGTGATCTCTTCTCGCTGCCATCCGGGGCTGAACTCTTCTGTCTTCGACTTGGGCTGGGAGGATTTCTTGTCTGAGGATTCTCTTGCCCGCAAAGGGGAGTGAATCGGGCCCGATGCCCGCGTTCAGGCTCTATCCCCTGCCCGCGGTCCAGCTGCAACTCCACTCCAACTGATTTCTGTCGACTGGGGTCCTGCTTTTATTGACGCCGCAACAAACTGGGGTGGGTCTGTCGGCGTCAGGGTTTTTCTCGATAATTCAAAAGTCGCATTATTTTTTGATTTCTCATTATCGCTATTGTTTTCACCCTACTTCCTCCAGTGCCTTTTTGGGGAGGTGCACCCATCTCTCTTAGTCTCTCGTATGTCAGGTGACCGTTTTTCGACCAATGGTTCCTGATCAGGCATTTCTTTCTCTTCTTTTCTGCAGATCCGTGACCGTTTCCGACCAATTGTTATTGAAATCCTTTCTCCTCCGTTCGGGCGTGGTTATATCGTTCTTGTTTTAAAAAACAAAATCAATTTTGCCTTTTTCTGCACGTACGAAAAATGACAATCTTGGCTTTTCTCTCACCTGGGCTCTGTCAACCAGCCCGCCGCTAATTAGTTGTGACTTCAGGAAGAATATTGTCGCCATCTGTGATCTGAGACAATCGTTTTTTCACCTCTTGTTTTTGTCAGACCCGGCAGTCAGAAAATCTTAATTTATCTGAATTGAAAACATCTTTCACTCGTCAATGTGGGGTTCTAATTTTAACAGGTCAGTATACCGTTCCACGGTCCTCCCTCAACCCAAAAACACTTTTTCTCTGATTAAGATTTCGTTTTTTCATTGTTCCCAAAATTTCTCTTTATCCAAATTGATAAGATGTCTTTCTAAAAAAGTAGGCTAGATGCTTTATATCTGGTTTTCATCAAGCGGCCCGTTTTGATATCATGTCTTTTCCTTTCTTTCTTTTTATTATTTCTAATTCTATTCTTCAATTGTCTTTAAAAAATTCGGTCAACATGAGCTAAGATATCTTTCTGACTCATGTTTTTGTTAATGACCTTTTTTTGTATTTCTCGACCTCTCTCTTTTGCTTTTTCTTTCCTCTCTTTCCCCTTCCTTCTTCTTTCCTTAGGGATCGTCTAAGTACAATCTTAGAATTATTTTCAACTCAATTATTTTCCGTTTTAAAAAAAAATCAACAACCTGTTTAGTAAACCGAGTAAAAAAAAAATTAAATCATATTTCTATGAATATTTCTAATAATGCAGGTGCCACAATCCTCCCCTAACCGATTTGTCATTTACCCGTAAAACCTAAACAATTACATCATTTAACATGCACCATGCATTTTGTCTCATGCAATTCTATTCTACTTTCTAACATGCAAGGGTAATGTTCTTTCCATTTTCTTTTGTTCTACATGCTATGAAATGTTCTTTTCATTTTCTTTTGTTCTACATGCAATGAAATGTTCTTTTCATTTTCTTTTGTTCTACATGCAATGAAATGTTCTTTTCATTTTCTTCTGTTCTACATGCAATGAAATGTTCTTTTCATTTTCTTTTGTTCTACATGCAATGAAATGTTCTTTTCATTTTCTTTTGTTCTACATGCAATGAAATGTTCTTTTCATTTTCTTCTGTTCTTCATGCAATGAAATGTTCTTTTCATTTTCTTTTGTTTTACATGCAAGGTAATGTGTGCGTGTGTTTGTAGGTGCAGATGTGTTCACTAGGGTCTGTTCTTCTTGGTCAATGTTTTCCTCTCTGCCGTGGGAGGTTTTCCCGCCGCACGTGGTGGTCTCACGCCAGCCTCCTCCATTGGTCTTTAGCAATTTCTTCGCCAGTCCTGTTGATAAGGAACACTGCTCGGCATCTCCCTCTCGAGTTGTTGCATGCTCACTAGACTGTCGTTCGCTAATCTTCTCTTACTCTTAATCTTCCATATTATTACACCCCGATGGCTATAACTAGGAATGTACCCATTACTATTGACCAACTTATCGCGATCTGCTCATCGTCTTCCCCAAGCTACACCTTCGTCTCCCAACGCACTTAACTTATCCCTTAAGTGATCCATATCGATCTTTTCTATTGGCTTCATTAATACTGGCATCTTATTTAAGGTGACATTAGAGAATCTCTTCACTATCGGCTCCCATAATTCTGTACAATTGACTAAGCCTCTACCAATCATCTCTATGAGTGAATCTTTTCTTCATACCTTTCTTCCATCTGGTAATAGGGGGCAAGGAGATGGACACCCCAACCGCCGAACATCCATGGGTAGCGTCACCAGGGATAACGGTGGCCTTATTTAATGTCCTTGTGGACTCTCCCACATACCCTAGACAGGCTGATATGTTTCTGTGTGGCTACTGCCCACACCCCGTCTGAAACACTGATAGCTTGTGGTAATGCCGAGTTTGTTAATACCTCTACTTGGCAGATTCTTTTGATTCCTTCCCCTTCCCTTCAAACAATTCTAATATGCACATTCTGCGGTTACCAGTTTTTATAGATAGGGCTCAACGAGGTACAAAGGGTATCATCTCTACACCTTCTAGCTTCTTCAGCTGATAGCAACATAAATTTCGTTCTCCCCGAATTTAATGCTATGTAGTCTCTTCCACCTTGTACCTTGCTATCATTCCTGAAAGGTAACAAATTCTCTTGTTGTTGTTCTTCACAATCACTTAGTCTCGCTCGACTCATCACTCAATCATTTCATAACTTTTCTCTTAGTTCGGCTCTTCCCTCCTCTAACTAACCCCTAGCAGACAGAATGGTCTGGTTGTGCGTGGCGCCCCTCTAAGGTCGTACTTCATGACACCACTGGTGGCCAATCAATAATGCCAATGATCTTCTTCCGTCCCTTGTGGGGCGCAGCCCGCGACTCCACCCCCTCCACTCACATCTACCATAGTCAGCCAATAGGATTTTGGATGAGCCAGTGTCGTTATCTGTCGACACTAAATGCTTCTATTCTGCACAGCCCTTTTGTTCTACTGAGACTTGGGGTTCTTCTCCATCCCTGATCTCATCTCTTGAGGTGATTCCTGTTCAACCTCTAACCTTCTTTCTGTGTTTAACTCCCGTCCAGGAGGTTTTTGTCCTCTTCTTCATCCTCTGATTCTTCTTTCTGTTTAGAGTCTTCGCCTTGAATGTCTTCAATACCTCTCGACTTTATGTCTAAACTTCTCCTGATCCTTTCCTTAAGCTGGGAAAATTCGATCCTCCTCCTCC